ATTCAGCTCCAACAAAGCATCTCCCCGAGTTTCCATGTTGCCGCCATTGTGCCACCAGATGCTGTTTATTTGGTTTGGCTGCGTGCCTCGCCCTGGATTATTTTATCTCTGCACCCCGGGGCCTCACACAACCTGTAGTGTTACAAAAGCCGTATGGCAGCTGCTCATTTAGGTGGTGAATCAATTTGTCTTCAGGGTGAAAGAAAAAAAGAAAGTAAACTTTGAATAGTTTATTACAAAATATTAAAATTACGTTGAAGGGTTTGTTCAGGCCAACAATCAGACATCTGTTTTCCCAAAACTGGCTTTTCGGAACAAGAGGCTTTGATTAAACATCTGTCTGGGAATTTTTTTTTAACTTAATTAATACTATCAGCAGTTAATTAAACACATCCTACAGTTAATGTTTAAAAAAACACCTGGATAAAATGTTTATCCCTTAAACAGGTTATTTTTGTTCAGGTTAAAAAGTACACACAACTTTATAATCGGCTCAATGTTCCTGAGGGTCATCAGCAGTTTCTTAGTGATCCAGAGCTCATTTTATTCCCTATTGTTCCTCTTTACTTGGTTTTTGTTGAAAACTAACTATAGCCAGAAAGTTATCCAAGTTCTGAAGCCTCCAAATGTTTTCTACAGTGGTTCATCTTTTACACAAAACAAAACTAAAACATTTGAGTTTTGAAAAAGATAGCTTTTTGAAGAATGCTTATTTTTCCTCATCAGATGGTTATCAATTTTTATAAATTCATATAATGTGATTTTCTGGAATTTTCTTTGGGATTCTGTCTTTCACTGTTAGAATGTACATATGATTAAAATTATAGATCGTTGCATTCTTTGTAAGTGGGCAAACCTGCAAAATCAGCAAGGGGTCAAATACTTATTTCCCCCACTGTATATTGCACTGAGTTGCAAAAAGAAACATCAATATTGCACTGAGTTATTGCAAAAGAAAACATTAAGTTGAAGACGAAACTAAACTAAGGTGCGTGTATTGTCCATGGGGGGTGGTTTTAGCGCTAGTATTGATGCTAATGTTGCCTTTAAGTACAATATCAGTACCATCAAAAGAAAAATATCTATATATATCAGTGCCATTAAAGTGGCAGGCAGCCTTTATACAGTGGGGGAAATAAGTATTTGACCCCTTGCTGATTTTGCAGGTTTGCCCACTTTTTTCCTCATCAGATGGTTATCAATTTTTATAAATTCATATAATGTGATTTTCTGAAATTTTCTTTGGGATTCTGTCTTTCTGTTAGAATGTACATATGATTAAAATTATATATCGTTGCATTCTTTGTAAGTGGGCAAACCTGCAAAA